TGAAAGCACCAACTACAGTCATTTCCTGTGGGGGTTTATAGAGGCAGAAATGAAGGGAAACTCCCCCCACATCCAGACTTTATGCACTGTTGACTTCTTCTTGCCAGTTTTTTTGTGTGGCATATATAACAAAACATGAATCTACAAGCCCAGAAGTCCAAGTGGAAGAGGATTAAACCTAGGAGGGGTGTCGTTGGCTTTTCTAGCTTAGCAGCGGTGGGAAGGGGGTCGAAATAACAAAGCCACCAAAGCACTTTGACTGTACACTTCTATGCTCAAACTTCTGACCAAAATGCAGCTTTTGAGGTCCTGCTGCATGTTGTCATGGAGGTAAAATTGACCAGTTCACCTGATCAGTGGTTATGTTCAAATTCTCAGGAATGAAGGGGACCAAATATAACACCTTATTCTAACTCATTTCATTAAAAGGTATTTTGTTACCTCACTGTTCTTTTTCCTGTTAAATACTCTGTATGTAATGTTAATAAATGTAATGTTAGAAGCTGGACTTACTTTGGTTTTTGTGTAGTCATGGTCTGATGCTGGTTTGTAGTTTCTGAATGCTGTACTGATAGACAGGACCCTCCTACAACACAGAGGAATGGATCCCGCAGAAGAGATCACAGAAACAGTTGGAGTAGGGATGTGCACAGACCTAAACCCTGAGCTAAAATCCGGGCTGAACTTTGCCTTTTTTGAAGCTCGACAGACTGACTCGAAGGTCATGTTCCCCCCCCCCCCCGAGTGCGCAAACTTCTCCTGCCTAGCTCAGAAGCATTTGGGCACTTTTGTCAGAGAAACTCCACCCCTGCAATTTTGCATGGAAAAGTGGGTGGGAATTTCCATCCGTCGAGGGACCAATATCTAGCATCTGAGGCTGACGGGCATCTCTGATTCACAATCACAGATGTCCATCCTTCTCCCTTGGAATGGTGTGTGTGTGTGTATTCCCAGGTGGTGTGTGACTATTGTTTGTTTCATGTTGGGTTCTCTGAAGCTAGTGCTCCTTTTGTGCATGGAAAAATCTCATGGTGGGCTGGAGTGGGGGGGGGAGATTTACTGGGGTTGCAGGATGGGTGGGTGGAGAAACCTGCTGGATCTCCTGGCGATGATATAAACTGGCAGACAAAAAGCCTCATCCCGTGTCTTTTTCTTGCCCGCTTTCCAGCACCACAATGCCTTTTCCTGTCCCATCTCTTTTCTTTGATGCAAGGGGTGGGAAACGTGGGTTGAACTGGTTTGCTTTTACAGTGTGTTTTTTGTTTGACTTAGGGGTTGCCAGTTTCTTTGGCAAATCAAACACCCGAGTTCCTCCCACCCCCCATGGGTTCTGCAAGTGGCTCCTTGCTCTGCCTGCTGGGGGGGTAATGTACTAAAAGGAACAGGATTGCCCATTGGAAATAATGGGAGCCAAATGCCAATTGACTTGCATGGGCTCTATTGAAATACATTACAGCACAAGATGAGTTGGAAAGAAAATTCCATTAAGGTCTCTGGGCCCAAATAGAGTACTCTGGGACTGGAATGACAGTCCCGGAGGTGGGGGGATGCAGGAGTGTTATGGGACTAGAATGACAAGCTCCAGTGTGGAATGACAGCCCCTGGGAGCAATGCTCCCTCTAACCTGTGGAGTCTTGTGAACAAAAATTCTACTTTGTGAGCTACTGGCATTAAAGTTCTGAGGGAGCAATTTGGCTACTGCATAAATTAGCTTGCTCTGAAGCCATATTTCCTGAGCTAAGACAAAAATGTGTGAGCCAGAGGCAAAAAACTGTGAGCTAGCTCACAGTAACTCAACTTAGAGGGAACACTGCCTCGGAGTAGCAAAAACTTTGGGACTGGAATGGCAGGCCCCAGGGTGGTATGACAGACCCTGGAGGTAGCAGACATGTTCTGGGACTGGAATAACAGGCCTCAGTTGCTGGTGGGTGGAGGGTGGGACCTGGGGAGGGAGCACCCCCCACCCCCTGTGGGTGTTCCCCAGGCCCTGGGCAGGGGTTTTGGCCCTGCCCGGTTGTCATGTTGCTGGTGAATGGAGGACGGGACTTAGAGAGTGCCACCCATCCCCATGTAGGTGTTCCCTGGGCCCCGGACAGGATGGGGGGGGGTTGGCCCTGCCTCGATATCACATTGCCGGTGGGTGGAGGGGTGGGCCCAGGAAGAAAGCACCCAGGCAGGAGGGTCCGCCCTGCCTGGATATCACATGGTTGGTGGGTGAGGCCTGGGGAGACAGCACCCCTCCCGTGCAGCTGTTCCTCGGGCCCCAGGGAGGGCAGGAGGGTCAGCCCTGCCCGGTTGTCACGTTGCCAGTGGGTGGAGAGTGGGCCTGGGGAGAGAGCACCACCTGCCCCTGTGCAGGTGTTCCCTAGGCCCCAGGCTGGGTGGGAGGTTCTGCCCTGGTTGGCGATCCTATTGCCGTTTAAGGGTAAATGGGAAAGAGCACCACCCATCCTTGTCACCTTCCTGGGCAGGGTGGGAGGCTGGGTCCCAACCAGTTCTCATGTCAAAAGGGCTGGGTGGTTGGCCCCCGGAAGACAGAGGCACTCACAACCATGCAGGTGGTCGCAGGGAGGTCCTCTGGGAGTTGGGTGCCTGTAGCTGAACCAGTTCTGCTCTGGACTGTCTGAAACCATCACTGGACAAGTCCTCCAGAAGCAGTTTCCTGAGGGTACTGGTCTTGGGGGTCCACTACTCAGACCTCCCCAGACCTGACAGGCACATGTTGTGTGGGGCATGTGGAGGGCCACCCCAAGGACCAGCTGTGCAAGTTGGAGGCCTCTAGCTCACCTGGGTCAGTTTTGGTTGCTCCCAAACCAACGAAGGGGACATTCCATTGAAAAGCATAGTCTCTTTGGGGGTCTATAGCTTAGCCCCCCAAAGTTCAAGAGGGACCAAACTTGGTGGGAACATTGAGGACAGTGAGTTTGAATTATGCTGAGAATTTGGTCCCCTGGGACCCCTCGAGGGTCTTTTTTGCATCCATACCGGTCCGCGAACTGGTTTGAGAACTGGTCCGGGAATTGAGTCAGTTCGATCCGGGGCAAAATCTTGAAAGTGCCCATCCCTAGTTGGCAGCAAGGTTCCCTCTAAACTCCAGTGTTGTGAGCAAAAATTCTACCTCATGAGCAAAAAAAGCTAGTAGCATTAAAATTGTGAACAAGTCTACATTTGACTACTGCATAAAATATTTTTAGAAGATTATTTCCATAACTTTGTAAAAATCTCAGAATGAATTATTTTAAACTATGTTTTAAGAATAACTTAAACATTATAAGAGAAAACAGAAAAGTCAAATTTCAGAAAAGTCTCCCAATCCTAAGAGAGGAGTTTTGGGCTGCTTAGAGGAAGAACTACTCCACTGTATGTACTCAGAGATATCTAGAACAGAGTGCCAGGATTACTGTATTCTGGAGAGCGACTTAGAAACTGTTATTTTTCATATGCCACACTGTTCCTATGGTGTTCTTGCTCCAAGAAATTGAGCCATCGTCTTGCAGTTGAAAGGGCAAACAGTTCAAAGTTATACAATCTAGTATATTTGCTTATATTAGGAGAGAGGCTGCCTGGATTATGGGAAGTAGCAGGCAGAAGGTTGAAATTTCTGTTTTTTTACATTGATGATAATCTCTCCTTATATATAATTGAGTAAGACGCAAACTCACGCAGGGGAGAGAAAATGCGCCCCCACAGTGTTTGGCCGGCTGAACTGTCCGTCAAAGGCTTACACAGGCTCCATTGGCCATGTCGTGTGAGTCCCACTCCGACGCAGCTTCACGCAGCAGAGAGCACATGTTCTGCTCCCCCTCCCCCCAATCGCCCTGGAGCTCCAGGCTTCCCGGCCACGGAGGACGAGCCGCCGCCCGGGAGACGTCGGCAGCCGCGGGGGTGGAGGCAGCGTCTTAGGCAGCAGGAGGATTCCCGAGGCGCCAACGTGCGCTGTTCGCCCTGGCCTTTTCTTTGCTACTCGAAGGGGGCGGTAAGCAGGCGAGGGCTCTCCTCCAGCACAGGCACACGGATGCCTTCCGTCCCTTCGCCCGCCGATGCGCCTGCCAGCCTCTCATGTCTCCCCAGGCTCTGGACGTTGGCTCGGAGAGCCGTGCAGGAACTGGCGGAAAATGCCCGCGGCGCTCGCAGGCCTCCAGCCGGCCAGCGCCACAATGGGAGGCGGCAGCGGGGAGGGACGAGGGGCGGCAGGCGACTTTCCCCGTAACGGGGGTCGCCGCCCGGGTCGAGGCACTGCTCGCCTATCTGGCGGGCCAGACGGCGAGAAGCACCGGTGCCTGGAGCCGAGGCCGCCTGGGTAAGAGGGGGGAGGGGGAGGAGGCGAGGGGGGTGTGCTCCTGCCCTGCCGAACAGATGGGGCCAGCGTTCTCCCTCCCCTCTTCCTTCCTTCACCCACCCACCCTACCTGTCTAGCCGGCCCGTTGTCTACCTCCTCAACGGGCTTTGCTCCCTAGTACAGGTATAAGACAAGGATGGACTCTGAAGCAAAGTATTTTGTAGTTGATACAAACCTGACAATACTTTGCTTGGTTATCCGTTTCATTTAGCCTTAAGTAGATCATATGAGTGCAAATAATTCATTGGTCATATCATAGACTGGAAGTGTTTTACACATAAAGGTACCTTGTAGCAAAGCTGGACCACTGTTCCCTAGTAGGGGTTTCTTATAGCTTTGCTTCCTGAGATTTTAAAAAGAGAATGCAGGACATTAAGCTTGTACCTTAACCACTACATTACAGGCCCAACAATGTTTGTCAAAGATCACTAAACTTTTGGTTTAAAAAACATCCCCTTTTTTCAAAGCACTTGTCCAAAAAGTCTTAGAAGAGCATTTGTTTCCAGACTTCATACCATACTGTGTGCCAGTTGTAGGCACTCTAGACTGAAATGGTTCTGCTTGTGCTTCAGAGGCCAATGTCAAACATTCACACACCCCAACATAGTTAAATAAGATTTTAATCTAGCATTATTGCTATAAACATTTGTATTGCAAGATGTAGACTTTGCTTTAACATTAAAACGTTTACTTATAAAATACCCACAAAGAAAATAATCTTCTTTGTTAGATCCAGCTCTGTTCTTGCATGTTACTTGCATTTAAAAATGACTAGAATTTTTGTTGTTTTGGTACTTCCCAATTCTGTGCTGATCCATGAGCATCATTAAATTGCACACGAGATTATACTTAACAGTTTTGTCTTCTGAAGAAACAGGTTTCCCTGGGCCTTGCTTTGCCACTAAAGTGCAGAGATGCTATTTTCTGCAACTTGCTTGAAGGCCCCTTTCAGGTTAAATTGGGGGAGGAATATTTATTTAATTACTTAACCCCCTTCTGGTTCTGACAGGATGTTTGCTGCCATTTCCCCCACACACACAGCTGGGGAGCAAGTACCAAAGCCTGTACACAGGCAATGCACAGCATCTGGCCCACTTGCTAACTTTCTGGGCTCAGATGCCTACTTCACTTAATGTACAAATATGGTCCACACAAAAATGGTAGGCACTTAGAATAATATTAAAAGCTTGCTCCAGCTACAGTATAAAAATAGATATTAATAGGAAAAAAGTGTTTATCAAATGGTTTTGTAAACAGCCTAGCACAAAATAGTGTTATACTTTTAAAAGTACACGAGAGCCTAAAACAACTTCACATGGAATTAAGCAGTGCCTTTCTTTTGAACTGTTAAGATACAGGACTAGACTGTGGGGAAAAAAGATTTCATTGAGCTGTGTGTATTCCAGGTATGTTACTGAGGGCAGCATCTGGTCTTTCGAGACCCTCCAATCTCTTTCCAGTGTGGGTAAGAAGATGAAATTGAACAGTTGGCTGCAATGCTTGGTTAAATCTTAAGAAACCATGGGGGCAGGGGGGGTGAAGCTTGATCCTCCCCTGACCACCATAAGCAGAAATTTACATTTACATAACTTACACAGATTGCAAAATTATGCTGTCTGAATACAATCAATTCAAGGAGTGCACATAGTCCTGATTACAGTAGGAAACTCAAAGTAGCTGGACTTTATGGTCTGATTCCTAAGGAAATAACACAGGGGAGCAAAGGTGGCTCAGCATCTCAAGAACAGCCCCACTGTGTATGTATGTTTTGCATTAAAAACGTTGCTGGTAGGCCACCAAGCTTTCCTAAATGCTAGCAGCAGGTGACTTGGTGCTGATTGCTGTAAGAACTTCAAAGATTGTCACCACACCAAGAATCCATGCCCAGTTCTCCTCCTATTCTATCACCAAGAAGAACCCACTCACAATGGATCATAACTGAGAGCACAGAATTTGACCTATTATGTGCAACATCAAATCCTCTAGATTATGCTTCAGACTCTTCCTGTCCATCTCCATGCACACCAGCATCTTCTTCCAACTGGTCATTCAGTAGCATGAATTTTCCATCATTGGTCAAGGGCATGGATGACATTAACTGAGCTAGTGCTTCTGGATCCTAAATGGGAGATAACACAATAAAACAGTAATGGAATGAAGTTAGTGAACACAATGGAATTTCAGTCAATAACATTATGGACTGTGTATTTTAAAAATAATACTAATTCATGCTGCTATAATGTGTTAAAATATGACATACAAACCAGGTAAATCAGCAAAAATGGAGACAATACAGGTTGTATCACACTATCATCTTTCAAAACTAGGGATGGGCACGAACTGAATTACGAACCAAATTTCGTAACAATCCGGGCAGGTTCGTGCGTTCATGGACCAAGATCCGTGCAATCGCACTGTTCACAAACTGTCCACAAACCGCCATGGTTTTTGTGGTAGTTTTTTTAGTTCCTAAGAGGGCTTGTGGGCAGACATGCTGGCCCCCAAGGCAATGGTCAGGAACCCTTTAGTGCAACTTGCCAGTGAGCTCAGAAGGTATTTAAATGGCTTCTGACTTCATTTGCGAGAGCCGCTGTGGCTTCTGCAGAGAGAGAGAAAAACACTGCTGAACTGCAAGCCAGCTCAACAATGCCTTTGACTCCACCCCCCACCCCCCTGGAAGCGTCCATTAGATGCAAGCCAGTTCAGCAATCCCTTTTGTTCCCCCCTGCTTGGAAACTGCGCAAATCTTGTGGAGGTTCGCAAACTAGGGTTCGTGAGACCTGACGAACCTCCATTTTCCCAGTTCATGCCCATCTGCTATCTTTCAACTCAATTCCCATTGTATGCTTGTCCTGTTTGACATAATAGATATGGTGCAGGAGAAACATAAGTGAAATTTTGGGTAATTTTCAAAGCCTGGACTTCTGATACAAAAAGGAGCTTCTGCTCATGCAAGTGATATCCTCTCACCCCTCAGTGCAGTCCCTGAGGATTAATCGATTTTAAGAACAGCTTTGGAGGTGGCATAGAGGGGTGCAAAAAGGAAGATAAAGTAGGAAAGCCCAATTGTGTGAGTAGAACTCCTCTCATGCATCACTGGATCCCATCCAGCAGGAAGACATAGTATCTCTAGGTTCCAACCAAGATGGTATTTGTGAATTATCTCTCCTGTTCTTAGTGCTTCCTGATTAACTATGCTCTAGTAAGCAAACATCCACAAAATTCTAGCTGCTGAATCCGCAGGACATCTTTGCATTTCCAAAGGCCAAGTTGATGTAAACGTGGAGGTGTTTGTGCAACTATTCTTACTCCAGAGAGAAACACTGGGAATGGATTACCAGTGAATAATGTTGGAAGGGAAAAAATCCAGTCAGATTTAGCTTCTAAAGAACTACCCTACTTTTATCCATTTTTCCCGTTATCATCTCCCCACCCCTAAATTCTGACTCACTCCACAGAGATCACTTGATACAGTCCTATGTTGTTCCCAAGTTTATTTTGTTATTTGTTCTTATTTAGATATTTATATCGCACTTTTCTCCTCAATGGGGATCTAAAGCAGCTCACATCAGTCGCTTCTCTTCCATTTTACCCTTATAACAACCCTGTAAGGTAGGTTAGGCTGAGGTAAGAATGATTGGCCCAAGGCCACCAGTTCCCAAGGCAGAGTGGGGGTTCAAGCCTGGGCTCCCAGATCCTAGTTCAACACTCCAACCACTCTACAACGCTGGCTTAATTAAGGGCTACCGAGTTCAGAGGGAGCTAACTACATATATGCTTGTAGTTTCTGCTGAAATCAGTGAAACTAAAAAAGATGTTCCCTATTATTGGTTCATACCCAGAGCGTGTACAACATCTGGGCATGGATCCTATGTCAGCGCTGGCTCTTTGGCTTTGAAACGGAGATGAGCACCGCAACCCTAGAGTCGGATTCGACTGGCTTTCGAGCAAGGGAACCTTTACCTTTATAATCTAGGGAATCTGATTCATCCCTAGATCAAACTGACATAGTATCAGAGTGAACAAGAACTGTTTGGACTAGAGATCTTGTCGCAACAATAAGTCCTCAAAGCTACAGCCCTGGCCCAAAACTGGAGATAAAGGGGCATGGAATTAACTAGAGTATACGTTACCTTACGAGCCTCAATGATCTCCTTTCCGAGGCTTATTGCATAGCAAATCTGCAGCAGAAGAAAAAATTGCCTTAGGATAACTTGCAAGAATGTCTTCCCTGTCCACAGTCTTATGGACAACTGCTCAAACACATTCAGACAAGATTCAGTCTTAGGACAGTTTCTGAAACTTTGCTCTGTGACCCCAGGATCAGGGTGGGTAATAGTACTCAGCAACAACAACAAAAAGAAGAGAAGCTCTAATAACTCCTTTACATTGTCCTATTCTCTTGTGATACTCTTCCCCACCCCACACTGCCAATCATGTAACAGCTGGTTTGTATGCTTACAAAGGAAAGAAGCAGGAGACATTCTCAAACACTATACTAAGTAGGCTGTAGGACAGAGGTAGACAATGATGACCTATAGCCCAAGGTCCTCAATTTCTCACCTCTGGTTACAAATTTACAGTGGGAGAGAGGGCCACAACTGGGTCTCTGCCCCCTTCTGCAGGCTCTCAACAGCAGGCAGAGACCTAGAGGTGGACTTCCAGCGGAATGAGTTGCCTCCCTTTTCTGTAGAACCTTTGCAAACATTTGCCAACCATGCATACAATGGAACATACAGCACAAGAGGATAATTTTTACTTCCAGGCCTTGGACAGAAACCAACTGGTACACAAGTACTATTTTCCAGGTGGGTTCTACAAAGTTGAAGGTTGTTTTAGGCCACTCTTTCAGAACCTTACTCCTCAGAACTGGAGTATAGTCTTCAAATGGCAAATTTTCAGGTTGAGGGGGCTATAAAATCAAGGTAACTGCTAAGAAAATCAATCTTGGAACTTGTACGTCAGCAAATCTGGGCAAGGTAAATGTTTATCACAACTCACTACATTCCTACAGATGATGAAAACTGGAACTTTTTGTTTTAAAATGCATTAAGAGCAAAGCCATCTCCAGACCTTTTCGCCTTCTGTGTTGCTCTCAAAGACATATGCGCTCTTGGAATCTTCACCTGGAGACTCAGCATCACAAACCACAAACCCAAGAAGCCTCTTGTTATCTTGATGGGCAGCAAACTGTGTCACACTGGCAAGTTCAAACTGGAAAAGCAGGTTTGAGAATTTAGATGAGTAGCTGCTTATCCCACAAGGAAGCTTTTACAAAATGGCATGGTTGCAGTATTAATAGTGTGAGGACGAATATACTTACACTTGTCCTTGTAACCTGGGTTTGAGGATCTATTAATCTGCAGGTAGAATAAATGTTTAAGAAAGAAAAAAGAATTCAGGTTAGGTTTTTCCCATGATTTAATAGCATAGAAAGAACAGAGGTGGTGATCAGGTGAGTTAATCTTGGTAAGCAATTGTGCTGTAGAGTTTTCAATGCAATCATAAACAGAGTTATACCTTCTAAGTACGGATTTGGAAGGTTGTAACTCTAAGATTGCACTGTTGTTGGGTTGGTTTGTTGTAGTTGTGTGTGCGTGTGCCTGGAGGCCCTGGCGACCTCTGGCGACTCCTACTGGGGCATGGAGGATGTTCAGAGAAGTGGCACTGGCTTAATAGCCTGCCTCTATTTCCCGGCCCTGGTATTCTCTGGAGGTCTCCCATCCAAATACTTGCCAGGGTTGGCCCTGCTTAGCTTCGGAGATCTGATGAGACTGGCCTTGCCTGAGCTATCCAGGTCAGGGCCTGTTGTTTTTTACTGTAGCTCTTCTGTTATATGCTTGGCATATCTTAAAGCACCCTGCCTTGAGCCTGATGAGAGAGAAACCTCTTATACATAAATAGTCATGCTGCCTCAAGTTAAGTTGTGACTTCCTTACTGAAACCAAGGAACGTTTCTTATGGACGGCTTCAAAAGGGAATTAGATAAGCATGTGGAGCAGAGGTCCATCCGTGGCTATTAGCCACAAGGTATAGATAGGGGCTCTGGGGCAAGTGATGCTCTGTCTTCTTGGTGCTGGGGGGGGGGGTCAACAGTGGGATGGATTCTAATGTCCTGGCCCCACTGGTGGACCTCCTGATGGCACTGGTATTTCTGGCCACTGTGTGACAGAGTGTTGGACTGGATGGGCCTTTGGCCTGATCCAACATTGGCATCTCTTATGTTCTTATGTTCTTATGGGTCTACTTGTGACAGAAGTAGTCAAGTTACTTTCAATGTGATTTTAGTCATGACTAGGTTGGATCTAGGTCAGAGCCAGAAACTGGATCTCCAGACTGCTTGTACCAGCCCATAAACTCTCTTGTATATTTTAATAGAGGAAATGTCCATGTAAATGTGGAGGATCTGCATGCACAGTGGATCTGCTATTTCTATTTGTGGACTGCGGCCAGACACAGTGGATTTCTCATTCAATGGAAGCCATGTAAGCAAAGTGTGACACTTTTCTACTGCAGCCCTGGATAAGGCTATGACCTAACCAGGCCCTTTTATAATACTGCTGTCCCCTCTACCATTTCATCCTCATCAAAAACCCTATGAGGTAGGCTAGGCTGAGTGTGTGTGACTGGCCAAAGGTCACTAGAGAGCTTCCCCTGTCAGAGCCCCTGTCAGAGCCAAATTTGAATCTTGGTCTCCCATATCATAGCCCAACAGTCTAGCTAAATATCACCTCAAAATATTATTGACAGGTTGGATTAAGAGAGGGAGCAAAGAGAAAGAAAGGACAAGAGCCACCTTGAACTTACTTCAGATCATGGCTGGTGACCAAGAGGTGGGATTCTGTCGTACGGAAGATGTTGTGAATGGCTCGAGCTGCCAGCACCTGCCTCATGGCTTCATAGATCACTTCCACTGTTTGATCAGATCTGACGGCCATAGACCCTAGAAAGCGAACTACGAACATCTGCTGCAAGAGTGAATCTGGAAAAAGAAAATAAAGGAAGGAGCATCTTTCCCCCATGTCGATTTCCATTTCCCTCTCCAAGACAACAGCTTCGGCATTCTGTTATCAGAAAACTCTTTTCTTCAGTGTAAGTGACCGCTGGGCCACTTGGCACATGGCAGCGTTGACAAGGATGTGTGAATGCATTCTCACATATCTTACAAAGACACCTTTCACTTCACGTCAGACAGTGCTTTTCATTATTAAAACACTTTTTTTCACAGTTCAAATTAAAATACATATTGCATCGCTAGGGCAAAAGAACCAACCCCACCCCAATTAAAAAACACACAAAATAAATCCAAAAGGGGTAAGAGACACTGCAGCCAGCATTGATTAAAATGAAACCAACAGCAGCTTATTTAACATTAGGGTTGCCAAGTCTATCTTTGCCAGGAGCAAGGGGGTCCCGGCCGGCGTCTTGTGCGTGTGCGTGCGCTGCACGCACGTCACCCGGAAGTGACAGAAGGACGCCAGGCATGCTGGGAGCGGGGCCACGGCCATACAAGGGAAAACCATAGAGTTTTCCCTTGTATGGCCGTGGCCCCGCCCCCAGCGTGCCCGGCGTGCCTGCGTCACTTCCGGGTGACGCACACGTTGGGGTGGAGTCCCCCCCGGGGCCCGATCCGGCGCCACCGGGGAACGGACCTCTAGGGCGGGGGTTTCCCCGCCCCCCAGGAGGACTTGGGATCCCTATTTAACATAGACTGAATGCTTGCAGAAAGAACACAACAGTCATTCTGAAATGTAACTGGGATGATGCCGAGTGAGCTTTTAGGAGGAGAACGTTCTGCAGTCTCCAAAATACCACTGAGCAAGCCTGGTGCTGCGGAACTAGCCACTGATTATCCAGTAGGTTCTGCTTTAAGCCACCCTGAGCCTTTCTTCAAAGGAAGGGCAGCCAAAAAAGCCAAATAAACAAACAAACAAACAAACACGGAACTGGGCTTCTCCAGATGGTTTTGTGTTGAAGAGGCATTTGGGGATCCTGGACCCAAACTATGTAAAACTTCAGAGGTCAACACTACTACTACACTGGGCCCAGAAGTAAGCAGAGAGCCAACATGGATGCCTCACAACAGATGTCATCTGCCCACTGGCGTTCTCTCCTCATAAGTCACATTTTGATAACTTTTCAAAGGCAGCCCTACACAGAGTCGGTTACAACAGTCGTGGAAGTCACCAAGGCATACGCAACTATGATCCCATCTCAGTTAAGCTGAAAGGCCCCCAACCTGGTTCAGTATGTCAAGAATCCCATGGGTGAAATGGCAGCTTTATGGGCCATCTCAAGAAAAACAATACAGGAAGGGAGCTGCATAAAATTTTCTCTCCCTTGCAAATCCCCTTTCAAACTAGAGCCCACACAGTCTGCCTTTTACAAAAAAGACTTTGGGAACTTACTCATGAACTTTCTGCATACCTGCGGGACCGTCTATTAGTCCCTGGCCCGAAAGGCATCCACCTTGCCTCAACCAGGGCCAGGGCTTTTTCAGCCCTGGTCCCGGCCTGGTAGAACATGTGCATGATGGAGATCAGGGCCCTGCGGGAACTGTTGCCTGTAAAATGGAGCTGTTCCACCAGGCCTTTGGTTAAGGCGGTGGATGTCAGATAATGATAGTCTCCCCTGCTTCAAGCACTCCCATCAGCCTCCCCCTGCTCCATCATGGATGCCAGGAGTGACTGTCAGGCTGAAATAGAGCAATCCTCCACCCCACCCCACCCAGCATGAGCTCAGCGTACAGCAGACTCAAATGAATCGCTGAGCTGCCGCTAGGTATTTTAAATTGGTATTCAGTGTTTCTCTTCCATGAATTGATGTTTCAATTTTAATTGTACTGGTGTTGATTGTAGGCCTCCCTGAGCCTTCTTGTGGGGTAGGGTGGGACAGAAAACTCAATAAATAAATGTAGGCTGGTCTTCAGCAGAACTGGCAGCATACTAGCCAATGTATTTTGAAGATGCTGATCAGGTGACTTCATCTCCCACTCCCAGGCAAATCCTTCCCACACTCTAGCTACTATATGCAGAAGCAAGAATTCTTCTGAATGCCAGATTCAGGGGGAAACACAAGCAGAGGCTACTGCCTCCGTGCCCTACCTGAGGGCTTCTGGGGGGCATCTGGCTGGCTGCTGTTGGAACCAAGAGGCTGGACTAGACAGATCTTGTCTGATCCACTGAGACAGTTCTTGCACCTTTAGCACTGGACAAACAACCACTTTGTTCAATAAACAGCTAGGTTCAAGCCGAGTAGCCCCTCAGAGATCAACAAGAGACCCGAAAAATCTTGTTGGTCTCTTAAAGTGCTACTGGACTCAAATCGAGCTGTTCTACTGCAGACCAACACAGTTGCTCTCTGAAATGTTGTTTAAATAAGCTGGGTCAGCATTTTGGATGAGGAAGCTTTCTCCCAGATCGAGCTGACAAGTGACCAGTTTTTGCAATTTGGTTTGCCTGCTAAGCCATGTGGGGGAGCTGCTGCAATAGGGCTCCAGCTCTCTTGCTTACAAACAATTTTTATGGATCTCATGGGTTAGTGTAAGGATGAGCAGGAGGGTCTTGTCCTACATTGTCTAATGCAACTCTACGGTTTACAAACAGCTCTAACAGTCCTTACCTTCTTCATCTTCTTTTTGGCCATCTTCAGACTCTCCAAATGGGTTTGTGCGTCTGCAACACAGAAGAGGAGCGCCCTTTGGATATGAGCACCTTCTTATATGAGAAAAGGCTCAATAAGAGAAAAGGAGTGCATTGCCAAGGGGAAGGGTTTTCCACCAACTGTACCTGCCACCCCTGTTCTGATCCAGGAACTCCATGGCAGGCAGCACAATGTCAAACTGGATTGGTGTTCCAGGTGCAATTAGCTCAGCTGAGTCTGGAACGCTGGCAGGTTCATTAGGGACCATCCTGTCATTTGGTATCTCCATATTCTTCACATCCTGGCTAAAGCAAGAGACAACAGACTGCTTCCATACGACAAAAGCAATTACATCAAATTCTTGGAAGAGTGGCTGCTATCAACTGAGAACAGGGCAGGAACAGGCCGATCAGTGTTCAGTGCTGGGATGGGCTTTTAAAAATATAACAACATTTAAATAGCTAAATTGGAGCTGCGGTGGCTCAAGTGGTTAAGACGCTGAACTGCAGGCTGTGGAAGGTCGGTAGTTCAGCAGTTCGAGACCCGGGTGCCGCATGATGGAGTAAGCTCCCATCTCTAGTTCCAGCTCCTGACAACCTAGCAGTTTGAAAGCGAGAAATTGCAAGTAGATAAATAAGTACCACTTCGGTGGGAAGGTAACAGCGTTCCGTGCGCCTTGGCGTTTAGTCATGCCGGCCACATGACCACGGAAACGTCTTCGGACAGCGCTGGCTCTTCGGCTTTGAAACGGAGATGAGCACCGCAACCCTAGAGAGATTCGACTGGCTTTCGAGCAAGGGAACCTTTACCTTTAAATAGCTAAAGGGGGTCAAGCCTTAACTAATCCATATTTTCATGCTGCATATGTTCCCAGTATTCTTGACCTGGATAGCCCAGGCTAGCCCGATCTCATCAGATCTCAGAAGCGAAGCAGGGTCAGCCCTGGGCAGTATTTGGAAGCAGACCGCCAAGGAACACCAGGGTTGTGATGTGGGGGCCGGCAATGGTAAAGCACCTCTGAATGTCTCTTGCCTTGAAACCCCCACAGGGTCCCCATAAGTCAGCTGTGACTTGATGGCAAAAAATATATATATTCTAGTAGGTTAAATATATAAGAATGGGATGAGGAAATACAGAAGGAACTGCCCTTTATTAGCTGGAATCCCAACTGCCTTGTAACTAGTGCATGTTGAAAATCATGTCCCAATACACTATATTTCATTTTTAATGTCCAAAAACTCCCCAGCATACAATCCCCCACTTGTAGTCTGAAAGGGATGCATTCTTGCATCAAATGGTATTTCCAAATGTTGAATTTTACTTTAAGATCGATACACAATAACAGTATCCCAACAAATCAAAGTATTAGTTTACAGGTAGGTTAGACAGGAAAAGACAAACATTACCACTTCTACATCTGTAGAATCCTGAAACACACAATGCTGCCTTGAAGCCTGGATCACATGATACTGTGCTATCATTGTGCAATACAAGTCCTTTCCAGACGTTACAACTACATGTACTAGGAAGCCACCAACAGAAGCATATGCTACCCTTGATGCTCCCAGTACACAGAGTCACCATTTTGTGTGAATAGGGCACTGCATGGAGTTTTCGTACCATAGTTCACATGCAGCACAGTGACCGTGTATATCATCAGTAGGGATGGGCATGAACCAGGAAAATATGGTTTGGTTCATGGTGTGCCCAGTTCACAAACCACGAACCTTCACAAACTTTTAGGGGTCAAACAAACCAGTTTGGTTTGTGAGGGAGTACAATATCCCCCCCCCGCATGCTAGAGACACCAAACTCACAGGAATCTCCAGCTGACTCTCCTCTACCTGCCCTCCTAGTTTGGCGAGGACTGGATTTAAATGGTACACATTATGGGCCCCCCAAAAAGGTGCCCCTGGGAAAGTGCTTTCTGAGGAAATGAACAGCCAAAATTTGTCACAAACTTTAGTTCGTGAGCCGGTTTGTGCCCATGCCTAATCATCACTCCCATTGGCAAACTCCTGGTATGCAGGGGAGGCAATGACTAAAAAGGACTAAAGTTGTGAAAGACTAAAACACAATACAATGACAGTGCAACACCCAGTGATGTGTGGGTGCAGCCTTATACTGAGTCAGTCGTTCCAGCTGAGTAGATACAACAGCTATTCAAAACAGAGTTACCTGGGACACAGACGTTCCTGCTTTTTCCCAAAGCTTGTGATCGGGGTCACGGCTTGCAGTGCTGTCTGATTTAATTTGATGGCCACTGCCTAAAGGAAAAGATGCAGCCTGAAGTCAGCAGGGGTCACTAAGTTACCAATGAAATACAGAGGACGATTTTAAGAAGAAAAAAAATATCTGCTCACTTCAGGATTGTCGGTGAGATAGATCTGTCGTGAGATGTTGTTGATTGCACATATCCACTGTTAACAGCAAAAAAAAAAAAAAAGTGAAGATCCTGAGCTACTGATTCAGTGCAAGAACAAAAACCATTACAAAGTGATTATTTTTTTTACCTCCTCATATTCTTTTTTGCTCTCTGCCTGAAGGGTTATGCCACTAAAAGGAAATACATCGAAAGTTACTGTCTTTCCTTGGACCACAGTTATGATGTGCACTTTCAGTTCTTTCGCAAAGTGAGAAGAAGAAGAAGAGATTGGATTTATCCCCCGCCCTTCGCTACCCAAGGGAGTCTCAGAGCAGCTTACAACCTCCTTTCCCTTCCCCTCCCCATAACAGACACCCTGTGAGGTGGGTGGGGCTGAGAGAGCTCTGACAGAAACTCCTTTTTCAGGAACAGTTGTGCCAGAGCTTGTGACTGACCCAAGGTCACATCAGCAGGTGCAAGTGGAGGAGTGGGGAATCAAACCTGGTTCTCCCAGATTAGAGTCCGCGCACTTAACCACTACACCAAACTGGCAAAGTGAGCTTGCAAAGAGAGGCGTCTGGAGATCCAGCAAATCCCATGACATCCAAAGAGTTTCAAGTTTTAGTCCTTTGGGTAATGTGTCTAAGTTTTTTCTATTTGGGATGAACACTGGGTAGAAAATTATTACTATTGTCCTGGATTTAAGTACATAAGAAAAGCCTTTCTGAATCAAATCAAGTTCCTTCTAGCCTGCATCAGAGGTTCCTCACAATCACCCACTCGGTACAAGGAGGACATCAAGTCAACAGCCCTTCCCCGCTGACTTTTGATTACAAATTTACATTTGGCTTTTCACACCCATGCAGAACTGTAGTACAGCAAAGCACCCCCGCCAAAATTCTCTCTTCTACATAGCTTTAAAAAAGAAACAAAAACTCTAGTTTTGGAAAGCTGGCCATCATTACCATGTAGGAAACTTTATTATTCCAGGGTGCCTGGATGCAAAGTAAAAGGCATCCAGTACTTATAGAAGGTTTATAGAAGAGGATATCAAGTGCCATGCAGGAGCGAAAAGAAAACCTGCACTGATCAGAGTGGTGTAGAAATGCAGAAGAGTCTGACTTGTAATGCACTGGTGAAATTCGTCAGTATAACCCCACCAGCTCTGGGCTGGCACATCAGGTCTTAATTTTCTGGACAGCAAACTACAGAATGGCATGAAAAATCACGACACCCAAATGTCTCAAGAGTTGTTTATAAAATCAGGAGACATTTGCTTTACATAGCTAGGGACCTCCGTGAAGGCCAAAACAATGTTCAAATCAGCCCGGGTAACAGTTTGACAGCTGCAGGTCACGCCTTGCAATTCCTGTCCAAATGGGAGAACAACCAATACTGATCCCTAGAGGGAGCCCTGAATTCCGTACAGTTTTCCGGTGGGAGTGGTGATCTGAAAACAGTATCGCCGGTCTTCACAGTCGACTGCCATGACAGAGCAGTTGTCCAGATCTTGGATCAGTCCTCCCGCAACTGCTCCCCTGGGCTGACACATCAGGTTTCCACCTTGAGTGAAGAAGTACAATCTGTCCCATGTTGTAGTCACCAAGCCTGTTTTACTGTACAAGACACACAGTTTCGATATATCATCCACTGAGAAGAGCTCATGTTCAACAGGTACAAATGGGGACTCGGGGAAACCCCTTCCCCAGGTGCATGCCTTTAAGCAGCCCAAAAGAAGTCACCGCCAGGGGGATGGGTACATTGGGGCACATCCACTGACTAATCCCCCCACAAGTGACCATTTAAGCAGCAGTCAGTCACACCATGCCACCAAAGGATCTAGCATGAGTGGGGGGAGGAAAGGGACATGACTTTTGCAATTCTCCCTTTCCTCCCTCCCCAATGCACCTTTATCAGTGCAATCCTAAACAGTGTTACACCCTCCCAAAGCCCTTTCTTTCGGTGCCTTTTATGTGGAAAGGGTTTACAAAATTTTATATAGACATCAATTAAAAAATAACCTCTGTATCATTTCTAAATGAAAAGTTAATCAGCCCAATGGAGTTTCAACAAGAGCATTATCTGTTAAAAAAATCCTTCCTGGTTTTCTCCTGGTTTTGGTTTAAGGAAAAAAAAAAACCTTTTAGGTACCAAATATAATATTGTGGAAAAGGAATGCCCCCCCCCCAAAAAAACCACACAAATATTGCTCCAGAAAAACAACTGAAGAGGTGAAACAGCCACAGTCCACCTAGCCCTGCATTCTGTCTTCCACCAACGGCCTGCCATATTACAAGTAAGCCAGTATGACTGTTCATCATCATCATCATCATCATCATCAGATATATTTTATAGCTTCTAAATAGGATTCAAAGACTTGGCACTGAGATAGGGAGTCCGAGCCTTAAAAATTATGTGAAACATGTTCAGTACAATGGAGTGGGTTTTGTTCATTTCTCACTAGGGCAGGGGTGGCCAAACTGTGGCTCGGGAGCCGGATGTGGCTCTTTCACACATATTGTGTGGCTCCTGGCAGGGTGGCTGGGGAAGTGAAATATCATTAGCAAACAAATATCATTGGACAAATAAATATCATTACCAATATCTGCTTGTATTGCTTTTGTTATTATTTTTGGCAGTCTCGTTTAATGTTAATAAAAAGCAGATTTGCATATTTCCCAGTAAAAAGATGTAATATTTGTTCATGTCTTGCGGCTCTCAAACATCTGACGTTTATTCTATGTGGCTCTTACGTTAAGCAAGCTTGGCCACCCCTGCACTAGGGCAAAACGAGGTAGCAATACCTTATCATATTTTCACCTGCCCTTCCTGCAAGGGACTCAGGGCAGCTCACAATGTCTGTCGCTCTTCTGTTTTATTCCTGCAACACCCTTTTGAGGTAGGTTAGGCTGAGAGAAAGTCGCTGGTGGTCACCCACTGTTTTCACCGCTGAGTGGAGAGATGAGCTCTGTTTTCCCTGGGCCTAGTCCAGTAATCTAACCACTGCACCACACTGGCTCTCAATGCATAACCAAGAGCTGAAGCTGCGATCTAAATAACTGGGCACACCAGGACTTTCCAACTCCCCTTTCCTGTACCAGACCTTCATGGCCCCCAAAACCCACTCCCTGAGAGTTGGGGCAGCATACAATGCAGCACAGGGAAATGGGAGAAGCGGGGAAGAGAATCAGCAAAACAAAAGGGGGGGGGAGGGCCAGTACACATGCATGGAAATGCCTTCTGCTCACACACAGAACTGCTGCTATTCTGGCCATGGTCTTGTGAACAGTCATGTGTTCTTCATTACTCTGCAGTAGAGGAAAAGTTATACAAGCTTTGAAAATCCAAAGCCGAAGAATCATTCGTTGTACCATTTTACCAATCCAGCATTAGACAGGCTCTTTCCAAGTGTAAGGCCCCTCCCCCCTCCTACTTTCTCCCACAATGTCCTCCTTACTTCCTAAGGTTAAGGTAGCCTGCCTTCTGAATCAGGTTTCTGTTAATGACGGGAGAGGCCACATCAAAATCAGGTGTGTAAACCGATTCGTTCCCAGAAAGGAGGTCTTGTTGAGAAACCCGCATGGCTTCGGCCTCAGTATCCAATTCTTCCTGAACGCTGTGGAAAAATAAAGTCCAACCACTCCTCTGTCACAAGCATCCGACAGGTATCAGACATAAGTCATTCAGGTTTTAAGGGACTGTAGACACTGTATTTTTCTAAGTACTTGATGAAATCACCAAGAAGAAGAAGAAGAGCTGGATTTATACCCCACCCTTCACTTGGAGTCTCAGAGCGGCCTACAATCTCCTTCCCTTCCTCTCCCCACAACAGACACCCTGTAAGGTAGGTGGGGCTGAGACAGCTCTGAGAGAATCGCTCTTGAGAGAACAGCTCTGAGAGAACTGTGACTGACCTAAGGTCACCCAGCTGGCTGTATGCGTGGGGAATCAAACCTGGTTCTCCAGATTAGAGTCTGCCGCTCTAGATTAGAGTCCACTACACCAAACTGGCTCTCACCAAGGCAAGACAGCAGCATGCGAGTGTACTCCTGTGCATGGTTATTCCAAATCCAGGAAGCAGCTCAGTTTTTTAGTACAGGGCACAAAGTCTACATGTACTTTCCAAGCTATTAATGTCAATTTTTAAGCTATGCAGAGATGCAATGCACATTTGGGTGAACAACTGCACTTCAAAGGAAAACAGCTGCTTTCAGAAGGTTGGATCCTGCAAATCCCTTCCACCAAGCTAGCTCCATGACTCCTGTCTGCTACATATTCCTCCCGTCATTGGATCCAACGCACTCCTTCTCTGTGGCATCATATAGCAATAGTTTTCCATAATGATAAACATTAGTCTCCCATCACGCATTTGTCCAGCATCAGTATCTCTGGTTAATTCAGGGATGTGGAAAGACTCATCTTACTGTCCTATTCCATCCATCGAATGAAACAAGGAGGAATTCTAGGTGCCAAATGAAGCACCATCGACAGGGAGCCCCGGGGACCAGACCCTGCCACTCACCACAGAAGCTTGGACTCAGGAAAACACTGGTCAAGCATATGGGGTGTGGTGGAACATGCTGCCAAGTCACAGTTGACTTATGGCAACCCTGTACGGTTTTCAAGGCAAGAGATGAATAGAGGCGGTTTGCCATTGCCTGCTTCTGCATAGCAACCCTGGGCTTCCTTGCTAGTCTCCCATCCAAATACTAACCAGGCCTGACCCTGCTTAACTTCCAAGATCTGACAAGATCAGGGTAGCCTGGGCCATCCCAGGTCAGGGCGAGCATATTTACTATGTAGCCATAAGCCACCTGACCTACCAAACATTTTGCAAACACTGCTGTACCCCTCTTCCAAGGAAGGTGGAATCAGCAGTAGTCCTTATCAGATTGGATCTAATACTTCACGGTACGCTGAAAGATCTGGAGCACACGTCTAGTCTGTCCTGCAAAACAAGCCTGCTCAACCCGTCACTGGATACTGCATTCAAGCAGGGGCCTATATGCATAGATCCCAATATGTGTAAGTCCCTTCGCGGGGTAAGAATCAAGTGGACTGAGCCCATGCAGGTTGGGCTCCACTAGGGGAATCTCCCAAAATTCCAGCTCATCTCCAGACTACAGAGGTCAGCTCCCCTGGAGAAAATGGATGCTGTGGAGGGTGGAATCTATGGCATTGTGTACCCCTACTGAGGTCCCTGTCTCCCCAGGCTCGACCTCCAAATCTCTATGAGTTCCCCAACCAGGAGCTGGCAAACCTGCCCCCCACTAGTGGGCATGGGGAACCCGGCAACCCTAGGCTTCATGCACATAGCAGATGGAGACACCCAATGCATAGGCCCTGGTGGAGCATGGGGCAGAAACGAACCTACCCCACCACCACAAACAGGCTGTACATTGGGCAACGTCTGAATTACATCAACCATGGAAATCAGAACAGAAAGGGTTAAATGACTGCCTTCTTGTCCTCTCACTTATTCCTTCCTACTCCCAACTTGCTGCTGTGGCTGCTGCATCAACTGCACTAAAAGAGAACAAAGGACATCCACTAACCAGAGCCTTCCATTTTCCATAGCTGGGAAGACCGAGCAAGGTGGGTGGCAGAGCCATTGTGGGACACTTACATTCATGCATATTCACATAACAAGGAACCACACAGAAACAGAACAACCAATGTGCGCATGTGCACGCGCACACACAGAGACAAAATCGACTGTTACCTGTGAACCATGTTTGAAACAGACGATAAAAAGCTGTCCATTTTTTTGGAAAACATCTCTGCTCCCTTTTTAAAAAATTTAATCTGAAAAATAAAAAAGATGGGATTCCCAAAATTAACTCTGAACTTTGCAAATTAAACAGTTTATAGTAATTGGGCAGGGTGGGGACAGGGAAGTAATTAGGGTGGAAAGACCTAAATATTGAAGGTGATCTGGGGAGATATAGTGTCTCGCACTAAAGGCCACCAAGCTGCTGGGTATACATTTTAGAAAGGAAAACAATCAAGTTTTAAAACATTTTAAAAGCCTCACTCCAGGGTTAACTAGGTAAAGGACTAAGACAGGAGCAGAGAACAGTTTTTCCTTCTTAAGGCTCAGGAACTGCACACAGAGAAGGTAACGGTGGCAAGAAACAAGTAACAGAGTCCACTGCTGATACTCTTCAATCCTCTCTCTTATTCACTGTCAATTACAACCAGCTTGTTTCCCAGTAATTCAGTGTAAAAATTATAGCCATAAAATGTAAAACATTATTCATAGGCACACGTGACATCTGCTAACCAAAGTACTTTCAGTTCGGTTTTCATGACTCCATGTAGTAGACTTCCATGGAAATCACTAGTTGAATTTTAAACAGCTCCACCCCATTTCTTTGGTATTGCTCACTTCAGTTAGGAGCCCTGAATATTTTCATGCCTGTGTGTTCTGATCACAGTTACACCACTTCAATGTCTGTGTAGTCTTGAGACTGCAAAAACCCAGACATCTGTGCAATTTAGGATTTCATTCAAGAGAATGAAAGTGGTTTGATATAAGGTTAAAACACAGACAGAATGCAGTTGTGAAATATGAGACTAATTTATATTAGTTCACATTAAGCATAATTCATAAGATGATGTGTCCAAACCATGGCAGATACTGACATGGCCGTCATTTTCAAATCAGGGCTTGCAAATGAAAAAATTAATAATTCACCTAAATAAGCAGAGATTTTAGTTTAGGCACAAAATGGAAACTATCAGGAGATGCAGAAGCCGGAACTTGGATGTTGATCACTTCTGGGAAGGCTAGAAAGATAGCGGATATGCAGGTCCACAACTGAACTGGTTGGTCCAGCCAACAGCTTTTTAAAATGAAGACTGCACTCTATGGGTAATTTAAACCTCGTGGCTTAAGTGCGTCTCAATGCAATGATGGAGTGTGCTGGATGGAATGAAACTGCTTCTTGTGATACTGTGCATATGGGACATACCTGTGAGCGTGTGTATCCCAGCATGGGCTCCATCATAGCTACTCTTTTGCGGTACTGTAAAGCATTCAAGGCACAATAATATTGCAGAGATGAGAGATGCTGTTTCCTCCGGGCATTGGCCACTTCTTTGGCGACTTCTGCCTTCAGCTAAACAAGACAAATGTTTGTGACAAACAGCCACGTGTCAGCAGACAGTTCTTTTCAAAACAGAGTCTATCCACAGGCACTGTATGACTACTAAATGCCACTGAAATGCCAAGGAAGCTGAATGTACACCCAGGAAAACCATCTGCCCACAAAAACACTGTGTTTATCTGGCTTTCCTCTCACTTCCCCATCCCCGAAGCAACACAAGCACCACTTGCAATTCTGCAGTAATATGTGCTAACTATGAGATTCCGTGCCAGGAAAATAAGGAAAAAAGCTTTGAGATTGAAGCATGGAAAAAGATACAGGGAGAAAGTAAATTTTAAGGATGTATCGGGAGGGTCATGTCATGTTGTGATTACTTCAGGAATGTTACTATTCAGCTAATGTCTTTGGGTAAGGGAAACCGTGCCACAATATTAATAATGAGAGGCTTGAGAAAAGAAGTCAAGCAAGTTAACCCGGATCCAGGCTGCTCAAGCGGAGGCTTGGATCCAATGGAGCGTGTCCATGGGCAGAAGGATCTCTGCCTGAGGAGCACAACTTCCTTGCTTTTCCATTCCAGCTGTAGCTCAAAACTGCCTCCTAAAAGGTCCCCCGTTTCCCAGAAGCAGCATTTTTGAGGGCGTCCAGCGCTGTACTGGAAGGCAGAAATTCTTCAATCCATGAAGATGATCCACTGGGCCCAAGCCACACCCTCTCCACTACTGTCATGTCCTCAACCTAAACATGGTCTGCCATCTAGATCAGTAAATAAACTCTGCAGGACAACAGTCCTGAGAATATCTGATTGGGGGGACGGGACATAGTTTTGTATAAAAATCAGGCACTTTTACACTCATTATTTGAAGGTTCTTATCTGATAGAGCCATCTTTATGTGGCAGTCAACAGAAATAAGGATATTATCCCTGGTTGTAGTCCCTTCCTATATTTTTCGTTGTAGTTCAATAGTCTTATGAAAAATAATAAAATTTCCCCCTTGGGGGTTTAAAAAAAAAAAGGATATTAGTTTAACAGCATAATTTTCTCTCTGTCATGCCATTTGCGTTGTTTTATATTCTGTAAAATGCCTTGAGTCTCAGTGAGAAGGCAGGCTATAAAGTAAACAATTAAATATATTTACCCTTTCATTTTCTCTCTTTTTGGGTAATCTGCTGTACTTTGCCATGGAGACATCATGTTCTGCAAAGCAAGGGCACATTTGAGCATCACAACTCAAGCAGGTACGCACTGCACAACGCGTCTGCTGCAATACAATCAGCAAATTTCATTCGAACAAAAGGCAAACTGTGGAACGTACCATTGCTTGCAAGGCCAAAGAGATCCTTCAGAGTGCTTACTTCTAGAAAAAGAACAAAAAGAAGAGACAGTCCCTGTGTTACAGTAAAGCAGCAGTGGGAAAGGTACTCACAAAACCAGAGACATGTGCTGGTTAAGCTTCTCATTAACAGGCGCAACACCCTTATTTTCAAATTCCAATATGAATGTTTTATTTTGTGTGTAAGAGATTTCTTTGTAGAACTTTTCACCAAATCTGCTTCTTAACCAGACCAACAAAGAACTATTTCATGCCACTTTGAGTTTATTTTTTTAAGCAATGTGATTAACAGAATCACAGAATTAAGCAGACAGAGAAATGGGTCCTTTTTGTACACTTACTGGACTGGTGATCCCTTTTGCCCAGTGAAAGAGCAGTCAAAATACCTCCTTTCTCCACCCTATAGATAACCTAAAGCAGGAGGCTATGATCACGTGATTCTCCTGCTTTGAGAGTCCCCACTCACATTTTATGTTACAGCTAAATTTGGACATTATGAAAGCTCTTATAAATGATAGTCTGATTAAATCCCAATTAGTTGTGATGTCTGATTTCTCGCAGTCCAACAAACCAGGGTTTATTGGATAATATCAAACAGGGATTGCAAACTAAGATTTGTTGCCATTTCACTAGCCACAGTTTGCACTAAGTGCTTAGGCTGGAGTAACAGTGCAGAGAATCTCACTGTATGCAGTGGTTGCTGACTACATAAATCACTGTTTAAACAGATGTTTAATGTGTGTGTGTGTGTTAAATGCCATCAAGTTGCTCTGACCTATGGCAACCCTATGAATGAATGATCTCCTAAATGCCCCTATTGTTAACAGCTTTGATCAAATCTTGCAAACTGAGGGCTGTAGCTTCCTTGGCAGAATCAATCTATCTCATGCTGGGTCTTCCTCTTTTCGTGCTGCCTTCGGCTTTTCCTAGCATTGTCTTTTCCAGTGACTCTTGTCTTCTCACAATGTAACCAAAGTATGACAGCCTCAGTTTATCACTTGAGTTTCTAGGGAGAGTTCAGGCTTAATCTGATCTAGAACCCACTTATTTGCCTTTTTCTGGCCATTCATGGTGTCCATAAAGTTCTCCTCCAACACCACATTTCAAATGAATCAACTTTCTTCCTGTCAGCTCTCTTCATCATCCAGCTTCCAGGCATAGCAATGGGGAATTCTATAGTATGAATTATCTCGACCTTGTTCACCAGGGACACATCCTTACACTTAAGGATCTTTCTAGCTCCTTCGTGGCTTCCCTTCCAAGTTTCAGTCTCCTTCTGATTTCTTGGATGCAGTCTCCGTTTTGGCTAATGATGGAGCCAAGGAATAGAAAATCTTTAACAGTTTCAGTTTCTTCATCAACAACCTTTTGTGTGTATATTTTTGCATATATATATTTTTTTTGTGCATGTGTGTGTGTGCCTGTGGTTGGAAGTCATGGTGACCTCTGGTGACTCCTACTAAGCATGGAGGGTGTTCAGAGAAGTGGCTTGATAGGCTGCCTCTGGCCTCCCAGCCCTGGTTTTCTCTGGAGGTCTCCCAACCAATTACTTGCCTGGGCTATCCAGGTAAGGGCCATTGTCAACCTTAAAGTGGTGTAATTCCTCAGTAGTCATTACTTTTGTCTTCTTGATGTTTAGCTGCAATCCTGCTGTGGCACTTTCTGCTTTAACCTTCAACAGAAATAATTTCAAGTCTTCACTATTTTCTACGAGTAATATGGTGTCATCTGCCTATCTCAAACTGTTGCTGTTCCATGCACCAATTTTCACTCCACCATTAACTAATTTTAATCCAGTTTTCCTTATGATATGTTCTGCATATTGATTTAACAAATACAATACAACCTTGTCTGACACTTTTGCCTAGTGGAAACCATTCTTTTTCTCCATATTCCGTTCTAACAGTAGCCTCTTGTCCGGACGACAGGTTGCGCATCAAAATAATCAGATGCTGTGGACCACCCATTTCTTTTAAAACCAACCATAGCTTTACATGATCCACACAGCCAAAGCTTTGCTGTAATCTACGAAACACAACCTGAGTTTCTTTCGAAATTTTCTTGTACACTCCAGTAACCAACCTAAATTTGCAGTATGACCTCTAGGTCTTTCTTTTCTGAATCCAGCTTGAACATCTGGCATTTCTCAATCCATATATGGTAACCCTCTTTCTTGTAAGATTTTGAGCATCACTTTACTTGTGCAAGAAATTAATGTGATGGCCTGATAATTGCTCCAGTCTTTAACGTCTTCTTTTTTCTTAATTGTTTAATGTTTAATTTGTTGTTCAGTCACACAGTCGAGTCCGACTCTTCGCGACCCCATGGACCAGATCATGCCAGGCCTTCCGGTCTTCCGCCGTCCTCTATTAATGTTTAATAGGATGTATAAATGCAGCCTCTGTTATGGAAGAGGGACATGTTTGTCATGAGATCACACAAAAAGCATCACCAGTGCACTAAGAGGAAGAACTGAGCGGGGGGGGGGAGATAGTGGGCTGGGCTGACTATTGGCTCCGCAAGAATCTGAAAGGAGCTTCACCAGCTCAATCACAATCTACATGTGGTGCCCAAAGTACCATAGGGGCCACTTCTAACTTAACTGTCCAGTTCTAGTCAGTGCAATCCTGCAGAAACTGTTCTGGAACATGAACGTTAAGATTTCAGTGGACTTAAAAGTAAAGGTTCCCTTGCTCGAAAGCCAGGAATCCGACTCTAGGGTTGTGGTGCTCATCTCTGTTTCAAATCCGAAGAGCCAGCGCTGTCCGAAGACATTTCCGTGGTCATGTGGCCAGCATGACTAAACACCAAGGTGCACGGAACGCTGTTACCTTCCCACCGAAGTGGTAACCTATTTATCTACTTGCAATTTCTTGCTTACGAACTGCTAGGTTGGCAGGAGCTGGAACTAGAGACGGAAGCTCACTCCGTCATGCGGCACTCGGTTCTCGAACTGCTGAACTACCGACCTTCCACAGCCTGCAGTTCAACGTCTTAACCACTTGAGCCACCGCAGTTCCTAAGTCAATGGACTTAGAAGGGTGTAAATCCATTTAGGATTGCATTGATAGTTCAGGAAGCACTGATCCCTTCTCAGAGGTCCTGGAAACAATTTTATCAAGAATTCATTACATCATGTTCAGGAACTTTTTTCTTGCATTATTTTAAAACCATTTTTAATACTTCTGCTTCCTAAACTGCAGAGAAGTAAAGAGAGAAGGGGACTTTATATACAAGGTTTGACTTCAAATTAATACAAAGCTCAGCCTGTTAAACAGATGCTGCAACCAGAAACATAGATTGGTGTGTTTGTGGTACAGCAGTAAGCAAGCCATATTGCCCCCAAACCTTGGTCATAACACTGCACTGGATGGATTTCATGCAAGCTCAAGTATGCAGCCAGTAGACAGCTGCTAGTCTCATAGCATCCTGCTTTCAGCAGTGTCTAGAGGAGGAAGCCAACATACCCCCTTTCTTTCTGGCCTTACAATTCCCTTCTTGCCTTCTACAACTTGGTCATGTACATCAGGTTCACCAGATTGAGACTTCCTTGAGATAATGTATAACAACTCCCTTTCGTGCTCTGATTCCCACTAGCAGCTTCCCAACGGAAATCACATAATAAAATATCAGAGGGGGGGACCCCTAGAAGAGCTTGTCCAATATTTACCTGTGAGATCTTTTTCCCGAAACTGGATGATGGGGAGAACCATTGTGTCTGCGAGTTGTTTGGCCAATTCAGTATGCAGAATGTTAAGCTGAAAGACAGGAAGTGTTTCAGTTTAGAAGACAAAATCACCTTCTCAGTTCTCCAAGGTCAGAACATGAACCCCTCAGCTCAGTTCCAAAGAACGAGAAGCGGAACTCCACTCACGGAACAGATGGCTGTCACCTCCCACTGTCTTACTGTCCTCATTACATCCTCCCTCCAAAGCTGGTCCTGAGGCACAAGAACAGAGCTGGATGCAACACAGGGGGGAGGGCACAATGGAAGGAGAAAATTCTTCCCTCCCGTGCGCGTAGAAGTGCCTTCCCACTACAGTCAAGGTGCAGGCACATCAGGTCAGTTTAGAAACAAACATGGTTAAGGGGGGAGCAGACAGAGGTTTAAAAAACTGTTCATGAGGCAGAGAGAGTGGACAGATTAAGATACTTGTGCTATGGTAGCACAGGGTGCGGCGGTTTGCAATTCCTTCTCAAGTGCTAGGCATATTTACAGTTTTTCTTACAGAAAACTAAGAGACATACTTTTAAATCCCATCGATATGCCAAATAGTACAATTTTATATGCTGTTTTAAAAGAAGCATTATGTTGTTAAATCAGTAAGAGTAATTTAGGTTTCACGGGAAAGTACTACACATATGTTAAATTTCCTCCAAATTTCTATCCCCTGCCATGACTTCAAACCCCCCCGCCCCCCCGGGCTTCAAAACTTCTGGAAATTTTACATTTCTACTTCAAAGTCAGGCCTGTCTGCAAAAGTAGGTTCTGCTGGCTCTTCAATTACCCTATAACGAATAAGATCCAATACCCCTCAAACAATGAATGAAAAGGAACCAGAAACTTGCTTGTACTTCTTTGGGCCAGGTGCTATACCTCATTCTAACCTACCTCATGGGGTTGCTCTGAGGATAAAGGGCTGAATGAAGAGAAGAGCAGGTACACCAGGCTGGGACAGAATTAACTAGACAAAATAATGTAATGTGGTTGGCTTCTAAACAACGGCTGAACAGTTTACTAAAGGAGAGGCCTTGAAGCTAAAATGACCTTAATTATATTTACTCAGCAACATTCACTGAAGCTGGCCTGCTTCTATGCCCTTCCCCCACACCGAAAACTCCACACAGAACAACAAAAATGGGGGGAAAACTCCCCCACAGCACTATTCTGGGGCAGGAAAACAGCTCGTGGGGCAGGAGCCATTCATTCCCTCGTGGCGGATTTCTGATCCCCAAAAGGCTTTTCTTGATTCTTTTATCGGTCACTCCACACAGCTGCAGGGAACCTGAGTTCCCTGGTCCCAACTCTTTTAAAAACCCAAGCATCTAGTTTGGTGTGGGCTGCTACCCATGCAGAGCAGCGACACAGTACAACAACCAGCTCTGCACAAGTAAAACCCTGTTTCACTGAGACTGTTAATTCAGCCAGAGTCATTGTGAAATCATTCCTTATTGAAGTACAAAGTTAGACTTGAACCCAAAGGGAAAAATAAATGCAACTGTCCAACGAAGACACATTCTTCATACTGTAAATTTAATCTTCACCAGGATCCAAACCACAGCCTTGGATCTTGGGTACCTTTAAATGCATTGACACGTTAAGGTCCAAGGTTTATTGACATGTACTTGTGGAACTATTTTAACACACTCAAGAATTATTTGAAGCTACGGAAGATAAAAAGGCTAAATAAAAAGGAGAGGGAAAGCTCTATTCATTACTCCTAAACTAATTTCAAAATAGACTTGTTTAGACCTTTCCCTTCAGCAGAGCAGTAACTGCAGCCCTTTTCTATTAACCACTCACAGCTCCAGCTTCTCTGTATGTCCAGAACAGGCTAGTTGCAATGACGCAAGCGTGTAGAAGGAGAAGCTAAGAAAGCAGTTTCTGGCCACCTGGATTACCTCGTCCACAACTTTGGAGAAGTACTGAAGAGTAGAGATCATTTCTTCATCCCCTTTACCCAGGGCAAAATTCTGCATGGCAAACAAGAGAAAATATATCAGTCTCCAGTGGATCCCACTAAAGTCTAGGGGACAGTATAAAACAAGCAGTCGTATCAAACACAGTCAAGGATGGAGGAGACTTTCCCCTCACCACAGTCACCAGAATTCCAGCAAAGCAGCCATATCAGCTTGTTGCAACAAAACCAAACAGGAGTCTTGTGGCACTTTCAAGACTAACAAATTTTGCTTTTAAGCTAACGTTGCATTGACCGGAGCAGTGGTCTCCACCATTTCCAGACCCAAGAGCCACTGAGCTGCGAACGTGTGACATCAGAGTCATGAGACAGGAAGAGAGGGAGCCAGAGTTAGGATAGTTAGGAATGCGGAGAGCAAACCAAGAGAACCAGGACAGGAAACATAAGCCAAACATTTGGTGGTGCACCTGAGTGAGGAAAAGATCAAGAAGCAGAGCCATGGGAGAATTCTCTCCACCGCTGAAACAACCTCACCCTGTCAGCCTGTCACTCCTGTAGGTGTGCATGCACACAGGTAGAAAGAACAGCACCCTTACTCCCTCAAAAGAGCAAAAATGGCAACTGTAGAGAAGCCTGCAACGCAGATATGCCACGCACTCAAGGGTCACAAACCCATGGGATGAAGTTCACTGGTCTAGAGCACTTACTAAGATGCATATACTGGGGTCCTCGCTGATCAGATTACATAAATAGACAGAATTATGAATAGGAAAAGCTGTAAAGAGTAAAGCCAAAGGGTCATGGAACGGAGGAAGTACAATGTCAAATGTAATTAGATAAAAATGCAGACGTCCTGAAGAGAAGCGGAGAGCGTTCATAGCAGCAGTAACCAGTGAGAGCTAGTTTGACAAGTCTAGGGAAATTACATTTACACCCGTAATGACTAAGGCCTTGTTAAATCCTCAGGAGACGGTATCATATCTCTTAATGAATTCTAATGCTGCAGTTTCATGCTGGAGTCACCCTTTGAAGTTCTACTGCTGGAGAATAGTAGCTTTTAGATCCGCAACAGTGAGTTTTGGGACACTGAGGTATTCTCCCCCTAGTTTCTGAGTACTGCCCCTCCCTTCATAACCTAATATTCGTACATACATACATATATGCACCAGAGTCCTGGAATTTATTTATTTTTAAAAATTATTTATTAGACTTTTAACCCGACCTCCCACCGCCGCGGCTCAGGGCGGCTTACAGTAGTTTAAAAACCAGTATAACAATACAAAATCACATCTAAAACAGTACAATCAATAAAATAACCAAATATAGCTTATTAGGATTAAAACTACAATTAAGACGTGGCAGCCATCTGTTATAGAGTGCCAAAACAGTCAGTGTGGTCTGGGCTATTAAAACGCTTGCCGGAACAGCTCGGTCTTCACCGCTCGACAGAATTGGTGAAGATCCTGCAGAGCTCGAATTTCATTTGGGAGCTGATTCCACAGTACTGGTGCAGCTAGGGAAAACGCCCTAGTTCTTGTCGATGTTAGCTTAGCGTCCCTAGGGCCAGGGGGGACCAAGCGATTCTGCGACTCGGATCTCAGTGCCCTTGGGGGAACGTACGGGGAAAGGCGGTCCCTCAGGTAGACAGGCCCCAGACCATTTAGGGCTTTAAAGGTCATAACCAGCACCTTGAAGCGTATCCAGAGCGCTATTGGCAGCCGCTGCGGCGACCTCAGCACAGGTTGGATGTGCTCCCTCACGGGGAGACCCATCAGCAACCTGGCCGCGGCATTCTGCACCAGCTGCAGCTTCTGGAGTTGCCCCAAGGGCAGCTCCATCTAGAGAGCATTGCAGTAATCCAGCCTCGAGGTGACCATAGCATGGATCACTGATGCCAGATCATTGCATTCGAGGTAGGGGACCAACTGCCTAATCAGCCGCAGGTGGAAAAAGGCTGCCTTGGCAGTGGCTGCTACCTGGGCCTCCATTGTCAAGGAAGCATCCAGGAGCACTCCCAAGCTCCTGACCCTTGGAGCTGGCACCAATGGCACACCACCGAAGGCCGGAAGTGGGGCCCCTACCCCCGTACCACTCCGATTCAGGCATAGGACCTCTGTCTTTGTCGGATTCAGTTTCAGTTGACTCAGCCTAAGCCAGTCCGCTACGTCCCGCAATGCTCAGTCCAGATCTTCCGGGTTAGAGCCAGACTGACCGCTCAACAGCAGACAGACAGGATGATAGAAGGCACGTTTAGCCATTATCCCAAGCGTGCTTGCTGCTTTGAAAATGCATTTTATATATGCATGCATGAAAATTCAAAGCTCTCTTTATATGAAGTCATATTTGTCCCTCCAGTTCAGCACTGTCTACTCCATTTGGCAGCAGCCGGTCCAAATTCTCAGACAGACAAAAGCCCTTCCTAATATCTCCGGTCTGTGGTTCTCTAACTAAAGGTGCCAGAGACTGAACAGGGTGTTTTTTTAACAAGCCAAGCACCTGCTCTACCTCCATGTCCCCTGCTTCCTCCATACAAATAAATGGCCGACATACATTCAGAGGAGGAAGAGCGAAGGAACGCACCTATGAGAGCCCTCCACCTACACAACATTCACAGTTGAAAATAAAACAGCATTGTAAGGGAGATTCATCAGAACCCTGTAAGAAAAAGGAAACTACCAAATGCACTATGTTGGCTTGCATTCTCAGGAATTAACCTGGTGCAATACTTCGAAAGAGCAGAAGAGATCAATCAGTGCAATCTTGCCCACGTAAAAATCCGAGGCACATTTCCCCCACTGACACCTCTCTACAACTAAAGGAAATACCCATGGATCTTGGGCACATCATCCATTTATTTCTAATCTGAACCTGGCCACTGATCAGGTTGCAGACACTACATGACACGTACCTGTTTCTCATAGGCTAGAAGCTGCTTGGAGAGCTGTTGTGTTGCCAGGCACATTTCGTTCTAGAAAGAGAAAAGGTGTCTCATTACTGAGGTTCTCTCACTCACACACACACACACACACACACACACCCCTAGATTAATCCTCTTATTTATTGTAGCCATCAAAGGCAGCACTAAGGAGGCCAGTCACTCCCCCTTCCCTGTTTAGGATCATGTGCAATTATTCCTCATCAGCACTAGACTCTCTCCTAGCTTGATTGTTCTATATATTGATAAGGGAGATAGGTATATGGGTAACAATTAAAAAAGCACAAATCTTGGCTTTAATAGATTGCATACAACCAAAATCTCTTTTTTTGAACCGAACCTTGCATATATCCAAGAACAGGAATAAACAGGAAATGCCCCCACCCCCCCCCCCCCCAGCAAATCAGAAATGGTGCCCTTGGTATTATTTTTATTAGCAGTCATTTGCATTGTGGGTGTAAAGCAAAACCACAAAACAGATTGAAGCAGAAAAATCACACTACAGAGAAATGGTTCCCAAACTGGTTCTTTCCCACCGCACCCCTCACAGCTTTGGTCATTGTTAAAATTAACAAAATTTGCATATCACTGTAATAGCATAACAGTGCAATCGTAAACAGAGTCACAACTTCTGAGCCTACTGAAGTCAATGGGCTTAGGACTGCACTGAATGTAAGAGTTGGAAGCAAGGTGTTAAGGCTCTTTCAACAACTGGGCAAAGAAAAAAACCCACACTGAACACTTGAAGAAGTCTACTCCAGCCATCAAAAGCTTACACATCAATAATTTTATTGGTCTTGAAGTTACCACCCTTGAAGTTTCCACCTTTTTTCGTTCTTTCTGTACCAAACTTTACAGGGCTACCCAAATGGATTTTGTAATCTAACCACGTAACAGAATACTGGGCAAACTGCATAAATAACACATGAAAAAGAAACTTGTACACATTGGTTCTGGCTCAAATTCTGATCAGCAGCAATACCAGCATGGTAAAAACCACAATTACTTTGGTACCACTGTCTGTCTTCACTTTCTGTAGGCTCAGAGCTCCTGCCAAAGTGAACCACATCTCCATTCACACTTTGCAGACTCTTTAAAACTGGTTGCTCGCTCACACACACAAAGGCTTCTTTTCCACTTTGGCTGAGAAAGTAGCTTTACGCAAGCAGAGGAACCAATTTCAGTATTTCTCATTTTGCTCAAATCAGCATCACAACTTCAGCATCGATGCGCTGCAGCCCAAGATGCTCTCAAAATGAAGGCCACATTCAAATGTGCACTTATGATTCAGAAAAAACAAGCTATCCTGACATGTATGTTTTAAGAAGCTGTTTACAGCTGTGTCAGCCAAAAGTAAAAAAAAAACAAAACCCAGCACAAGCACACAAATCATGTGGTACCTTTTCTTAGGACCAACCCAGTGACACATAAACCCACACTTACATGTCATTGGGATGGTCCAAATACAAGTTATCACATGATTTGCAAACCTCTTTTAACACAGCCTTTTCCTGACTCCAACCCACCTGCAGAAGCTGCAAATACTAATTATCTATTTAAATCAATTGAAATTGATTAATAAGAGGGTATAGCTTTTAGGAAATTTACCATTAACTCCTTAGCCTTTATGTATTTTACTGGCTAGACAGGGACTAACAGGAATAGAAAAAAGAAATAAAAAGGTAATTAATGGCTATAAAGTATAGGGTTGTATGGATTTAGTGTTAACCACTACCGAGATTAGAGTTAGGAGTGAGTAATAAATAAGTAAGCAGGACATTACTGGCATGGCAATAGCACTTGAGTGGAATCTTGACTGTGACCAATCAAGCTGGTCAGTCTGAGGCTTGAGTCGAGTGCGGCGGGCAAAGACCATCTGGTGCAGACTAGCTGAACAAACAATTCCAGTGCTCCTGGGGAGGGGGAGGTATAACGGTGGGACCAGGCAAAAATGGAAGGGAAGGGGGCAGAGAAATAGAGAAGCTCGGCCACCTTCCAGCCTGTGTCCCATCACAAAGGTGGCAGGTGGTGGGGCAGGGATTAAAAACCCCACTCCGACATTGGTGCTGTGCAACGCCAGGTCCATAAATAATAAGACCTCAGTCCTGCGAGACTTTTTGTTGGAGCAGGATGCGGACCTGGCGTGTGTGACCGAGACCTGGGGACCTGGCGCCCCCTGGGTTCTCGGTCCTTCACCAATCCCGGACAATGGGGCGGGAGGGAGGGGTGGTGCTGTTCATTTGAAAGGCTTGCTCGTTCAGGGCGCTCCTGGACACCAGGCTCACGGGCATGGAGTGTGCCGGCTTTGTTTGGGAGGCCAGGGAGAGTTTGGCTGTTTGGTTGGTGTACCGACTGCCCAACGCACTGGCTGATAGCCTGCCAACCCTGGGGGAGGCTGTGTCGGGCTGGGTGTTGGAGCACCCTAGGCTGATAGTCATGGGTGACTTCAACTTCCATGCCGACGATACGGCTTCCTCTCGGGCAGTGGACCTGGCATCGTCCATGGTGGCGCTAGGGCTCTCCCAATATGTAACGGCCCCTACTCACCAAGCCGATCACATGCTCGATTTGATCTTCGTGGTGGGGGTTACAGTGGACCGGATCACTGCCATGGCAGTGCCATGGTCGGACCACCATGCCCTGAGGGCCCGAGTGAATGTGTCCCCCCCAACCCTGTTTGGGCGGTGAGCATATTTTAGCTCGTCCGCGGAGCCAAATGGACCCTTTGCGCCTTCAGCTGGCTCTCTGGGATCCACTGCCTCCTGGCGGCTTGTTGGAAGAGCTGGTTGAGGACTGGCATGACCGACTCTCGGCAGCCATCGACAAGATCACTCTCAGACGCCCTCTGCGCCCACACTCTAGGCTGGCTCCTTGGTATACCCAGGAGCTGAGGCTGATGAAACGCGGGCTCAGACAACTAGAGAGACAGTGGTGGCGTGTTCGCGACGAGGCTACAAGAGCATCCTATAGGACATTTATGAGATCCTATGAGATGGCAGTCAAGGCAGCGAAGAAGGAGTTCTACGCAGCCACGATTGCGTCTGCTAGCTCACGCCCAGCCCAATTGTATAGAATGATTTGGTACTTGACAGCTCTGCCACAGGGCAGGCAAAACAGTAGGGAATTGGATATAGGCTGTGACGCTTTCACGAGCTATTTTGCAGATAAAGTCTTGGCGCTCCGCCGTGACCTGCCAGCCACATTTGAGACAGTATGTGAACTCGAGGCCCCATGCACGTCTTCTGGTCCCATTCTGGATTATTTCGAACGACTCATCCTTGAGGAAGTCGACAGATTGATCTCAATGGTACGCCCAACCACATGCAACCTGGATCCGTGCCCCTCCTGGCTAATTAAAGCTGGCCACAAGGGGTTTCTAGGAGCGCTCAGGGATATTATCAACAAATCCCTCTCTGAGGGGCTGTTCCCGGGGGTCTTAAGGAAGCGATGGTCCGCCCTCTCTTGAAAAAAACCATCTCTGAATTCCAGTTCTCAGTTCTAAATGAGAGACTGTTGCTGGTATCCTTGTATACTAGATACCAGATAAGAATGAAATCACTTTAGCTATAAATCCACACCATCATTTCATCACTGTCTAATAGTACACTGGTGAGCCCACATGGGGATATCAAACAAAGGCCACCCGTCGACAAAGTAGAGGTTTCTACATACTCAGAGGACTTCCTATGTATGTAGAAAAAACTGACTTTGTAAATTAATGATCAAGGAATCTCTCCTCACACACAGTGACTTGATGAAGACAGAGTATGCTACAAGAACACTGATTGTTAAGAGCCACTGATGTCAGTTAAAGCGGAAAAAGGAGGAGAGAAAATTACCCTTCTCACACCTGCCAGCTTACTGAACCCTGAAGGGGGAGATTAAGGGGTGTGGTAGGAATTCCAAATTGCTCCTGTCTTTCCCACAATTCCTCACTGCTCCCCACCCAGCCCTGTCTAATATTCAGTTGATGGCTATTTCAGCATCATTGTGGGAGGGGTTTTCCTATTCCACAAACTATGTTGACCATATAGGCAAATTAAACACTTCATGTCATGGTTTTGACAACTACTAAAAAGCTATCCCACAATGTGAGTCTGTGCTATAAAAACAATTTGCCTTCTCCTCTTACCAAATCAGAAAATTAAGGAAATTATACTGAACTTTTTTTTCGGGTGTGTGTGTGTGTGCTTGCAAGCCTGGAAGTCATGGTGACTTCTGGCAACCCCTAGTGGGGCTAGGATGTTTCAGAGAAGTGGCTTGATCACCTGTCTATGCATCTCGACCCTGATATTCCTTGGAGGTTGCCCTTCCATGTACTTGCCAGGATCGGCCTGCTTAGCTTTTGAGATCTGACAAGATCGGGCTTGCCTGGGCTATCCAGGTCAGGGCAGAAGTTATACTGAACTTGAAGCCACTTCTAAATCCCATCTATAGTTCCAATTATGCAAGCAGACGGTTGTTCCAACGACTATGGTACTACTACAACTTTTGGAAATAAGTATAGGAACAAACAAGAATGCTTTAAAGCCTGGTAGGTGTGCCACATGAAGTGGTGAGCATCAGACATTCCACCTGGCATTCATGGGAGTTGACTCAACACCCTAGTCATTGGTAACAACATGCAATGCAAATCAAAACACCTGCAAGGTTGAGTCTCACTGTGATGACACGCATGATTCTGGACAAAGAAAAAGGGAAGTGTTCTATCCAGTGAAAGTATGTTCCCAGAGCTTCCTGCTGTGGCTGCTCCTTGCAGCTTGAAAACCCTTTCAATGGCTATTGACCTATTAGTGTACAAGGCCAATGCACATAACACGAAAAGCATGGACAAGCTGGCCCCCCTGCCCAGTGACAGCCAAGCTAGCCTGCCATCCTCTGCACATTCACCCCATATGGGGACTGAGCCTATAATCTGTACATACTCAGGTACTGTGCTGTGGACAGAAGGGTGTGAGAGCCAGCACACCTGGTCCCATTCTACCTGTGAATTGAAATATCATGTGCACAGAGCTTAGCTACAGACCCAGTGGTCTCACCAAAGATTTTCATGAGCACAGCCTTTCAAAATTGATCTACCACAGCAGGAGAAATTTTCCCATTGTAAAGAATGGAGCATCTCCAGTATGTACATAATGCTAATACAATGAACCTGGCAAGGTATTTGATTAGCTTAAGTTACCCCAGCACTAGCGTTACACAAAAGAAGGGGTAATCAAGCCTCAACTCAACCAGTTAGTGTCCACCCATCTCACAGGTTTGCCTCCAATACTTTGAAAGGGAAGAAGAAACACAGACAAAATTACTTACCTGAGCCCCATAAACCCGCTGCATTGCCTGAAGCAACTGGTTGGTGTAGTCTGTAAGTGTTCCTGCATCTTCTTCAAACACACTCAGCAACGAGCGAGTCTGGCAAAAGAAGAGATTCAGCAATTTAGCACTCAAATGGAAGGGAAAAAAATGATGCCTGAAAACAAAGATGTAGCACAGTAAAAATAGTCGCTAATAATATTTATAAGAACCACATATCAAAAGAGATGTTTTCTCAGAGGCTCTAGATTTCAGCAAGATAATGTGAAACCCTCATGATTAATGAAGTGTGTAATGGGAAAGAAGAGGCCTGAAGAAGTCCATCGTCTGATTACAGCCAAAATTTCCCAAACAACTTGCTTCCCGCCATTTATTACTTCATATACAACTCAATGCCCAAAGCTCAGATGGAGCAGCCTCAGTCCTTCCCCACATTAAGCTTCACAATAACCACATGGAGTACATTATTATTATTCTCATTTTACGGATTGAGACTATGGTTCAGGACTTCCGGTTTATGTCGACACGCTAGCAGACGCGTCTCCCAGACATCCCGGGGAAGTGATTAGGAGCGGTTAGGAGGGGGGGCGATTGTTCGCCACCCCCTGGAGCCTTTGTGAAAGGCTCCTAGCCATGGGGCTTCTGAAGAGTGGCCTCTTCGCCAGCACGTTGCTGGGAAATTGAGGCGCT